CCCCAAAACCCCAAAACCCCAAAACCCCCATAGTTTTGCATATTTGATTATGAGTTAAAATAATATTTGCAGGGGATTAAAGTTTTTAATAGAATTGTTTTAATAAAGAATAGAATCGAATTTGTACTACTTGATATCATCTTTCTCAAACTTCCTCAATCTCAGCAGTCTTTCTCCACTCTTTCCATTCCATGTAGGCCTTGTAAAGCCCCTCAATGTGAGCTCCATCATTAACAGTGGTATCAACTACAGCTGAGAGAGCAACGTATGGATCAATATCAGAAGCTGGTCTTCTATCTTCGATATATCCTAATCCGTCGTTCATGGCTGTGAAGGATGGAATACGAACTGAAGCAGTTCTATCGCCTACTCCTGAAGTGAATATTTCTGCAGACGAAGTTTCATGTTGACCAGTGAGACGCTTGGAGTTATCTCCATAAAGTTGAATATGCATAATGTGCTAGTTCTTAAGCTTCTCAATTATTTGGTGAATATAGTCCATGCCTTACTCTCCTGATCTCATGATAGTTGTTGAGAAATTAATATGCGCTCCTGCGCCATTAAAATCTTTGAAAAGTTTTGGTTCAAGTGTAATGGTGATGTTGAAATCCTCAGCAACTCTCATAAGAATATATCTGGCAACCCACAACTAATCACCAGCTTCTATTCCAGCAACTGGCCCTATTTGGAATTCCCACTGTCCTGGCATAGTCTCGCAGTTAGTGCCAGCAATTTTAAGTCCAGCAAAGAGACAGGATTTGTAGTGAGCGTCCATTATGCTTCTTCCATAGCAATTAGTAGCTCCAACTGAGCAATAGTAAGGTCCTTGAGGGCCTGGGTATCCTGAAGAAGGCCATCCGAGTGGTTTGACTGTGAATTTATTTTTGTGTTCTAGGACTGAGTACTCTTGTTCAATACCAAACCATGGTTCTTGATGATCAGCAGCCTCGAAGATTTTTCTGGCGTAATGTCTGAAGTTTGTGTTGGCTGGTCTTAGTTCCTTGAAGTCCCCATCAGCCCAAATATGGGATTCACAGAGGACGAGAATATTGTACTCCTTTGATCTAAATGGATCTGGGTAGTAAGCAACTGGCTTGAGAATAACTTCAGAATTGTGAGTTGATGCCTAGTAGCATGAGGAACCATCATAGTTCCATACTGGAATATCATCGATTGATTTAATTTCTCCTCTGAGAGTCCTTGATTTAGATCTCACAGTGGTATCTGAGCCATCAATCCAGATATACTCAGCCATGATAGCTCCTTTTTGCTCTAAGTGATTAAGATTCTTGTAGAATCTGAAGGTTTATGCTATCTCGGACATAATGGAAGATTAAGGTTTGATAAGTATAATTATTAGAAAGATTCAAAAATCTATCAAATAATCTAATGAATGGAAGGATTAGATTTGAATATCAATCAAAAATTATACCTTTCATTAAATTATTCTATCTCTTGCTTGATGGGGTTTTGGGGTTTTGGGGTTTTGGGGTTTTGGGG